GGGGTTCGTCACATACATACCTTCTGCCCAGCACGTCTCCACATTCCAGACTCCCAGAAAGAAAGTAGCTGTTCAGCATAAACAAGATTGTGTATGCAGTTTCAGGACAGTGAGCCACTCATCAGTTCTGGGAATGGTGGGGAGTGTCTCCAAATTCAGGTTTCCAGACAGCATCCAAGGGTCAACCTTTCAAGCTGGCCTTTCTCAGGATAGCAGCCTCAGGCCTGCTATGGTAATGCCTTTGTATACAAATAGCTTATCTGCTTTCCTTCTGCTACACAAATCAGAGCAAAGAATGCTTACGTCTTCTCAGTAACAAATTTACTCAGATTTTATATAACACTTGGCAGGCTATGTGGGGAGAAGGGAAGGCAAAAAAGGATGTTGCATGTTGTGGAGATTACTTTGATTTTTCTCTACACCAGATGAGTTCTGTATTAAGCAGGCTCCACGCCCAGCAAGGAGCTGATGCGGGTCTTGATCCCATAATCGTGATATCATGACCTAAGCCGAAATCAAGAGTCGGATGCACGACCGACTGAGCCACCCAGGCGCCCCCTCAGATGAGTTCTTTTTAATTTCTATATTAATCCATTACCGTTTGTCAAAACATTTGCAGGCTAATTGCTAAGCATTATTTTCAAAGTTGTACTCTAGGGGTGCCTGGGTGGCTCAGTTGGCTAAGTGTCCGACTTCGGCTCAGGTCGTGATCTCGCGGTTCGTGGGTTTGAGCCCTGCATTGGGCTCTGTGCTGAAAAGCTCACAGCCTGGAGCCTGCTTCAGATTCCGTGTCTCCCTCTCTCTCTGCCCTTCCCCTGCTCGTGCTGTCTCTCTCTGTCTCTCAAAAATAAACATTAAAGTTGTACTCTAGAAACCATCCTGTGAGCTCTAGTGATCCTTTTCTAAGATATACCAGTTCCTAAAGACAACACATAGAATGGGAGTAAATTTTTGTAAATCATGTGTTTGATAAGGGATTGTGTTTAGAATATATAAGGAATTATTACAGCTCAGTAATAAAAGGACAACAATAAAAAAAAAAAGAATGAAGTATCTGAATAGACATTTCTCTAAAGAAGATATACAAATGGCCAATAAGCCCATAAAAAGATACTCAACATCATTAGCCATCAGAGAATTGCAATCAATGAAACATTGCGTCACAGCCACTAGGATGGGTATAATCAAACCCACAGAGAATAACATGTGTTGGTAAGGATGTGAAGAAAGTAGAACACTCATACATTGCCTGTGGAAATGTAAAATGGTATTCCTGCTTTGGAAAACAGTCTAGGGGCACCTTGGTGGCTCAGTTGGTTAGGCTTCCAACTCTTGGGCTCAGGTCATGATCTCACAGTCTGGTTCAAGCTCCTCATCGGGCTCTGCGCTGACAAGTGAGGAGCCTGCTTGGGATTCTCTCTCCCTCTCTCTGCCCCTCCCCTCTGGCACTCTCTCTCTCTCTCTCTCTCTCTCAAAATAAATAAATAAACTTTAAAAAAACAGACAGCCTAACAGTTCCTCAAAGAGTTAAACCTAGAGTTACCATATGATCCAGTCATTCCATGCCTTAGGTCTCTGCCTGTATCTAAGTAGAAATGAAAACATATGTCCATCCAAAAACCCGTATAAGAATGTTCATAGTGACTTTATTTGTAATAGTCCCAAAGTGGGAACACAACTCAAATGCCCATCAACTGATGAATGATAAACTAAATGTGATATATCCATAAAATGGAATTTTACTTGGCAATAAAAAGAAATGAAGTAATGGTCCATGCCACAACATGGATGAAGCTTGGAAACATGCTAAGTGAAAGAAGACAGTCACAAAGGACTGTATATCATGTGATTACATTTATATGAAATATCCAGAATAGACAAATCCATAAAGATAGAAAGTAGATGAGTGGTTGACAGGGGCTAGGGAGGGTGGAGGGTTGGGGGTGACTGTTGATGGGTGCAGCATTTCTTTCTTGGGTAGTGAAAATGTTCTAGAATTGATTGTGGTGATGGATGCACAACTCTGTGAGTGGACCAAAAGCCATTGAATCATGCACTTTAAGTAGATGAATCGAATGATGTGTGAATTATATCTCAATGAAGCCATTAGAAAAATATGCCAGTTCTTGGGTGCTGGGTGGCTTAGTCGGTTAAGCATCTGCCTTCGGCTCAGGTCACGATCTCACAGTTTGTGGGTTTGAGCCCCGCGTCAGGCTCTGTGCAGACAGCTCAGAGCCTGGATCCTGCTTCAGATTCTGTGTCTCCCTCTCTCTGCCTCTCCCCCACTCACACTCTGTGTCTTTCTCTCAAAAAA